TTTAGAGAAACAGATTTAAGAACTGTTTTTAAGCTGAATTTGATGGGAACAGTTTTCTGTTACACATGAAATCTAGATCATCTGTGTGAGGACTAGGGGGTGCTGTGGTGTAGGCAGCTCGCTGAAATGAGTTCTTCAATGGGATGTTTCACTTAGTGATAATTTCTATATATTCTGATGAGAATTAGTGAATGTTTTTATTGTCATTATCTTTGCTCAGACACCTTTGTTTCCTCCTTACATATGTAACATATGAGGTAGGTGTGAATATGTGTGGGTTTGCAGAGATTGAGCTGTATTTCTGTGGTTCAAGATCAAGCCCAGCTTTATAGTTGTTTCTGCACATAGGTATGATGTACATACATACTTTTATTTGACAAACCTTATCCTTAAATGTAGATGTATCCATCCATTTCCCTGCATCTCATGAGACCAGGAGACATTATGATAACAGAAACAGAGATGAGATCATGAAAACATTTTGACAGATCACAACTTTCACTGGGAGAAGCACAAAAACAACATAAAATAATGCACATTTACTTTATGTTAATATGCTTTCATGATAATGCATGACATTACGATACGATCAGCAGAGACTGGTGAGTGGAATATATACTAGGTAAAATTCAGCCAATAAAAATAAATACACTGCATTAAAGCAAAGTTCCAAATTCAGAAATAACATTGTTCAAACTACATATTAGCTAATGTTTCTCATAGGCTTGAATATGAATTGTTTTCACCTATCAACAGAAACCATTCTATTGTGTGAGGTAACTCACTTGTCCAAAACAAAGTAAAGATCAAAGCCTCCAAAGCATGAGGACGGCCCAGCCTGTCTTCTGTCTTGGTTCGGTCCAGGATTAGCAGCAGTAAGAAGAACCAGGGCAGAACCAAACACCACTGGAAACCAGAAACATCTACTCCAGCATGAAGGCATTATTCCAGCTGGAAAAAAGTTCATACAGATGAGACAATAGCTAAAACCTTCAATTAAAAAAAAAGTTGATTAAAAAAGTGAATCGTCCTTTCAGTCCTCTACAGGTGTCCTCTGCTGTGAAAAAAACAAGAATGCAAAGCAGAGCAATGAGTGTGAGGTTGAAGTGGAGAGAAGACAGCATGAGTTTTGCACTTCTCACTGTCGTGGGGACCCTGTCATGACTGCGTCCAAACAGCATGCACAAGGATGAGAAGGGCGTCACAACCTCTTACTGCTTTTTGTTAATGACAAGGTCATGCAACAAAGAGATCCTCAGACCCTGAATGATTAACTCTGAGTCTTTACATA